AGGAGAAAAGAAGAGATTATTACAGAAAGAAGAAGAAAATATCCAAAAACTGATGGAACAAATTAATAAAGGGAAGTCCTCCTTAAGGAAAGTCTTATTGGAGTTAGTTAATTAAGCAGGGAAGGCTCTCGTAATTCTAGGTGGGGATGAAGCCCTTTTTGAGGGAAAGCCTATATGAACTCTCTCTTGACCTATTTGCACTCAATATTTCCTTGGTAAGCTTTACTGAGAATATAGTTGATGTGGGTATCATAGTGTTTACCTCAAAAAACCACCTTCAGGTTTATTTTGCAAATTGATTGTATTGGTTAATCCCAATCAACACTGAGCTCGGATTTGTGCATTAATAGTAACCAAAAAAAAAAAAAGAAGAATGAAGAGAATAAGCAATAAAGCTTGAGCTTATTTATCTCTACATATATTTGCATATAACACAAGACTAACCTCATGGCTTCAATCCATTAAGAAGTTTGAGCTTGAACTTGAGTTCCTAAGTTAAATGAAATACTCAAGAGTTGAGATTTAATGTATATAGGTTTGGTTCGTAAATGAGTTGAGCTTTAAGTTTAGAGTGCTAGGTCTAGATTGCATAATTAAATTGCAACCTTTTACATCTATGTACTGAGTAATATCTCTTTAGTATATATTTTTTTTCCAAATGTAACAAAGAAGCTTAATTAGGCTTTATGGCTAGCTCATTTGAGTAGAAGGACCTTCCACAAATTAATGATTTGACATAACCAAAAATTATGTGGCAACCTATAGCAATATTAAGTTCAAATTAATTTCTACCAATAATCTAAAAGGTTCAATGATCTTTTTTTAGTGAAAGAAAAAGATCTTGAATTTGAGTTGTAAGCATGCAAATGAGGTAAATAAAGGAAGGAGAGAGAATTGTTTATCACTGTGCAACCCAAGATTGTAAAAAAGTTTCAATCAATTAATGAAATATTAGGAGATTTTTACCCTTTAATTTTGCTTAATTATTCTTTTTGTTAGCAATAATTAACAGAGATATAGAAGGGCAAGTTTTCAATAATTAAGCTGCTCTTAATAATACCTTCACAAGGCAAAATTAATTTTGTTATCTCTCAATTTTACTTTTTTTGTCCCTCCTTGCCTTAACTAAATCATATGCACAACATAGGCACATTTTCATGAGTCTTGACACCAATCCTTGAGGGAGCTGAAGAGACAACTATCTGTCTCCTTCCTTTGAGGCACATGTATTTAAGAATTAGTAATGGTGAAGACTAGTTTTGGGTAGTGTGATCACACTTCTGAATTTGCATGGAAACTCAACAAACATTGGGAAGCAAAATTGAAATAAAAATAAAAAATGAAAGGCTGAAGAACAAGAATATTCTGTGTGGAGATGGAGAGAGAGACAAGTTAGGTTTTCATTATGATCTAACTAAATAAATAGATATCCAAAAGTGCCACATTTTTTTTTTTTTTGGGATCAGAGTCATGTATTTTAATCAAGTAAATATGGTTCTTCCTCATGCTTAATATGCCACAAAATTCAGGCTTAAAAACATCAACCCCAGATTGTTCATATCTTTCTCCCTATTTTTATGGCAGAAAAATTATAAAGAGAGAAGAAGAGAATAAAAGTCTATCTTATGCATATAAGATGATGTTCTCGGATATAAGTAGCAAACAATGGACTCTTGAATCATTCCTCGAAAGTTCATAAGGATCTATCAGTGAGGGTTTAAAGGTGTGATGCCTCCTATAAAAGGTGCCCTGATTCTGCCGCTTGCAAAGCACAGACAGTCAAAGGAAAGTATTTTGTATACTTTCAACTTCGTGGGCAGTATAATCTTTGAGCGTTTGGTAATCAAGGCAACTTGCATGCTTATTTTCAACTTTATATACTAGTTAAAGATACAACTACACAAACATGTGCACACTTAAACCTATTTTATTACAAACAAACTGGTCTAGAGTATGAATGATTAAGTATGATTAAGCTTAACCTAAATTATCACAAAAAAATATATATTATGTTTAGTTTATATATGGATCAAAATCATCAAATCTTTAAGAGGTAATTAGGTCAAGAATTTAAATTTTTATTCGGTTCAAAATATAAATAAAAACCAATTAAGAACTAGATAAAATCAGAAATTTTCCAGTTTCATTAGGGAAGATCAATACACTATTATTCTACAGCGACAATCTTAAACCTAAAGGCTACACTAGAGTAATTAAAGAAAACAAATAATAGGGGTGGATTTTTAGGGTTTGCAATTTTATGAACATTTCTAGGGTTCCTAGAGCTTAATTTTTTATTTATGCAAACAAAGTGCATGTTCCAAAGTATGTAGCATGCATCAATTCATCAAAATTTGACAAGATCGTCATCTTCACCGATTGCAAATAGGATAATCTTCTCATGATTCATGAATACTGAGTAGTGTACCCGAAAGCTACCGATTGAAGGTCCTCGGAGTCTTGGAAACCCCATTGCCTTTGCATATTGTCAAGAGAAGACATCTCTCCAAAAGTGGAATAGGAGGCATCTTGATCTCCAGAAATGACTGATGAATTTTCATAATTTTCCATGGAGCTTGGATCCATGAAGGCGGCAGGGAAGGAAATTCCGGTGGAATGATCGGAGAAGTAGGGGTTAAATTGTTGTGGCATGCTTGAATTATCCAATTGGTGAAACATACTTTGAAGATGATCATCTTGAAGATTATGGGAAGGAATCTTTCCACCGGAACCATAGTATCTGTTATTAGGGTTTGCAGAGGCACCATTGATGCTGCTCTGAGCTGCTTGCTCCTTGAGAGAAGCTAGCTGTGCCTGCAGATTCACAACCTGCAAAATCACAAAAAGGAGAATTAGGTTTATATGATCATCAGCACGAAAAACAAATTAGGGTTTATTCAATAAGCAAGTAATTGTAGGAGGTTTAGTCAAATTGATGTCCATTAACTTCAAAATCTTAATTATAGTGTTACTGTTAGGTTCAGACCCGACCGCAATAACTAAGAACAAATTTTTGTTTGGGTAGAAAAAATCAATCAAGGAAAATGATTACTAACCTGTTGTTGAAGAGCAAAGATATGAGAAACACAGCCATAAATGGGATCTTGAAGCCTAGCCTGAGCCTCATAAGAGATAGTGACAGCAGCCTCGCAGCGGTCACTGACAGGAAGATGAGCAAGCAGTTTGGACACATTGCTTGCACCAAAAACCTTATGGATGGCTGCAAAATGGGTAGCCCCCTGTTCATGGCAGAAATAAGGGGCAAAAACACAACCCCTCACACATTTTCTTCTTAAGAATTTGCAAGCACCACAAGGAGAGCCAGAACCGGTCATTTTGATCTTTTTGGGATTAGTGGACTTTTTTTTTTTATTTTTTCCCTATTTTGTGGTTTTGGGTTTTGCTCTTGGGTTTGAGCAAACAACTATGGCTCACCTCAGGGCTTTTAAACACCAGAGGAAGAGGGAGGTGGATGATATAATAATCAATACTTAATTCTATTTGGTCCCCTAAATGGGCTACACATTTCATTATTTTTTGCTTTTTTAAAAAACCATCTCTTGTACCCCTTGTTCCTCTGAAATTTTTATAACTCAAATTAGATTCCGTTTAACACTTCCTTACACGACATTAACCAAACCCATTTCTCTTTGCTTGATGATTGGATCATCTCTCACTCACTTTCTGGTTTAATTCCTTCTATGTATGTACTATAAGATCTTGAAGAAGATCCGACATTCCACTGAATTATATAGTTTCAATCGAAGGTTCAGAGATTCGAATCCCTTTTCAGTCGCAATTGATGATCATATATGTGTAATCTTGCAAATAATAAAATTGTACATTAACAGGTTATGAAGTGTTCTTTCAAGAATTTAATAATTTAAATAGTTTGTAATGATTTTCTTTTAGTAAAAGTAAAATTTAAATGGCATAGTATATTTTTAAGGTAAGTTAAAGAATATAAGAAGGCTATATTTGATTGCATAACCCATAATAAAAAAAAGGTGTTCATTAGAGATGCAGTGAATGAGCACACCGTAAGCTTGTCCTTTATGAAATGGGATACATGGAACAGGAAAATAGGATGTTAGATGCAATTAATTAATCAGGATTAAAGTTAAACATTCTTTCATTTAACCTTGCTAATTAATAATTATTCAATGGGTTTGTTTTTTTATCCTGAGTTAAGGCATAGGATTAGAATCCAATAAATACACTTTTTGTAATTAATTTTATTGAAATTGTAAAGGTTGACATTGGTTTAATCAATTAACTAATTAAAATCATTTACGCGTTAATAGTATTAAAATATATGTTAACTTTTATAATTATTTTATATAAATTAATTATAATAAAATGCATTTATTATACTCTCCACTTATGGTTTTAGGATACAAGTTAAACAAACCTTTAATCAATACATTCTATTACTTAGATATTTAATTAAATTCCAATATAAACCACTTTTTTTTAATAACCAATTATACAATAAAAAGTAACACTCTCTCCTTCGTTCCTTTACTCACCAAAAACCCCACTTGCCAAACTAATTCATCTACCTGGCATTCTATTTGGATTTGAGCAAATAATTTACAGTAACTTTTGACAGTCTCTTGTAACTTTGAAGCATGTGGGATTTGGGGAGAAAAATGGAGACAGAGGAAAAGACAAATGATTTGATAACAAAAAGAAACCCACATCAAACTTGGCAGTTTTACTGAATCTTCCTGCACATGTGAAGAAAAATCAGAAAACATGTGTGCCTGATCCTTAAATATATATGCTAATCAACAGAGGTTAAGGTTTTCTGCTAATGACACATATCTAAATCATTGAATTAACAAGCAAAAAGAAATTCTTGGGTATCTAATCGAAGATTATGAAAATTTAATATCAGGGCTACAAGCTATGGCTACCGCTATTACCTTCTGTATAGATATATATGATTACAAACTATAGGGTTTTGCAATAATAGATAATAGTGGACCCTGCTCTCTCATGCTACTATTTCCCCTGAAGTAGGTATGATAATTGCAAATTACTTAACATAGAGGTTGTAAGTAAGGATAAAGTGTTAGTACAATCATAAAATAATTAATTGAGATTTAAGTACTTTTTAAAGTTTTAAATTTGAATCTGTCTATTAAAATATATATAAGTGAACACTCAAAGTAAAATAAAATATCGTGAAATGTGTTTCATAATTTTTCTTTACTTGAAAGGGTGTTTGGTAAGGTTATCAGTTAACCACTTAACCCTGTTTGCAACAGCAAACGCCCCATGATTCTGCTAATAATGCGGGATAACGACAAGGGAATGGTAAAGTTTAGACAAAAAATGGTGGGATTATATGTCTTAATTAGTGATTTAAGTACAGATGATCAGACCGTAAAGAGGAGCATATATTCCAAAAATGAATCAAACAAAAGATAGTGACACTGGAATAGGAACATGGACTAAGGGAATTGCACAAATATGAGCGGAAAGAGGGGTTAGAAATTTGTTTAAGCTTAGCGGGTCGTTGTTTGGCCAACAATACAGTATTATCATCATTAACTAATCTTATATATAATCATTAATCGCTTTCTTGTGTCACGCGTAGGCACTAACATGTAGACCTAGCTAGCTTGCTCACTTGTGCACCTCAGGCCCCACTTCGAACCCTAATAATGACATCCCAACTTGACACAACCTCACCTCGTTCTAATACCATTATGCCTTTTTATATGCATTATTAGTTGAGAATGTTGTTTTGCAATCCGTGCTCTGTGGACTGTATTTTTTAAATTATTGAAGGAGAGTAAACCTCTTATATCAAGATATT